CCCTTGAAGTCACACTTGGATTTCAAATTGTTCGTTCAAAATCTGTTAAATGCTCCTTGTTTAGCAACATCCTAAGAGGGACGGGACATTTATCACTAAAAGCACTAGCAAATCCAATGCTCAGGCTTCTAAGGGCCCTTCCACACAGCTATATAACCCAAAATATCAAGGCAGAAAATCCCACAATATCCGCTTTGAACTGGATTATCTGAGTCCACACTGCCATATATTCCAGTTCAAAGCAGATAATGTGGGATTTTATTCAGCTGTGTGGAAGGAGCCTAGGTGTTAAAATGGCACTATATTGCCAGAGTCTAATCCTCCTACTGGCAACTGCTATGTAAGGTGACCAGCATGCTTGCAAGAAAATAACAGGTCCAAACACAATGGCTCATTCTGTTAAACAAACAGCAAGGAGCAGGAAATGTCAACCAAGCAGGAATATTTTCCATTGCTTGTTAAAATTTTGCAAAGATAAGTCTGTAAGCATAGAAATGAAGAAATGATCACGAAACTGCCTGGTGGAAGTTGACCACGAAGTTGCACTGAAAGACCTAACCATTCCTAGACATGACATACTTAAATCTATGAATAACCAAATCAACAAAAGCTAAATTCACAAATGTGGAGGGCTGACTGTAGTATTAACCCAGGTGTTTCTCTTGCTTTTCAATGGTTAATTACATTTTTAAGAACCTTCCCTTATGAGCCATGAAATATACATACAAAAGTCTTGTGTAGTTATGCTGTAAGTTTCCATCTAAACGTCTGCACAATCACTCTGCAGCATAAACAAATTAAAAGTAGCTAGAAGGGGCCAAAGAGCATAGAATCATATAGTTGGAAGAGACCTTGTGGGCCATCCAGACTAATCCCCGGCCAAGAAGCAGGACAATAATGTTCAAAGCACCCCCAACAGGTGGCCATCCAGCTTCTGTTTAAAAATCTCCACAGAAGGAGCTTCCACCACACATCGGGGCAGAGCGTTCCACTGCTGAAAGGCTCTCACAGTCAGGAAGTTCTTCCTAATGTTCAGGTGGAATCTCCTTTCCTGTAGTTTGAAGTCCTTTCTCCTCATCTTAGTCTCCAGGGCAGCAGAAAACAAGCTTGCTCCCTCCTCCCTACGACTTCCCCTCAGATTTATACATAGCTATCATGTCTCCTCTCAGTCTTCTCTTCTGCAGGCTAAACATGCCCAGCTCTTTAAGCCACTCCTTATAGGACTTCTCATGGTCCTTTAAAATGCAGATATCCTAATGTAAAGAACACGGTTATAATTTGTCTTTCAAAGCTTGGTGGACGTTATGCAAAGATTCAGTTTTTATGTGGATCAGTCTAACGTTATGGTGTTTCAAATGCCAACTACTCAATGAACTGTACATTGAGTGACCTGGGACCTTAAGTAGGGTAGAGGTTTCCAACCCTATATTTATCTCAACAGATAACAGCTGGGTGTTCTGCAACACACAACAAGCAATGCTAACGGAGCTCCGTTTGATTTGTCATACGTCAGCTTTCTATCTGACATTTCATTCACTCTAGAAAGCTGATGTATGACAGATTGAACGAAGCTCGGCTAGCATTGCTTGTTGTGCGTTGCAGAACTCCCAGCTGTTATCTTGTTTGCCAGTGTACTTAGTACAGTACAGTCTCCCAGTCATTCTGGTTTATTTTTACAGTGCATTGCCCTGGCTCATCGCTATCACACATCCTCCAGGACAGAAACAATCTCTTCTTACATGCGCAAGGTATTTGAAATGAAGATCACTGCAGAGGGTAACGTTTTGCATCAGCTCAGTTTTGAAAACTTTTTTAATGGACTGTAGTTGATTACTACTTGAAAGAAACCCAAATCTTCCCTGTCCGTATTAATTTCTCATCTGAAACTAGCTCTGTGTATTTACCTAGAATATTGTAGCAATTTGCTATGTGGAAGTGAGTTATTTCCTTTCCTCAACCCATGTAACCTGGAGGGGGAAAATCATTAAAATGGTTTCTGGTTGCAAAACTCTACCCTTTACTTGGTTCCTTGTTCTTTTTTCTCAAACTTAATTTTTTTCCAGAGTTTGGTAATATTGCTTTACTGGCCTACAATTCCCAGCTATACACAAGTAGGTTATTTTGGGAATTGTTTGCAGCCCAAAAAAGGCCACTTTTTCAAACTTTATGTTTTTGTTATTCCAAACGAATCTTTCTTTGATGTGGCCAATAGGGAAAAACAACACTATGTAACAAAATTTGAAAAAAGAATCTGCTCCTGGTTTGAAAGTGTTATTTCCTGTTTAATTTTTTGGTACTTACTTTGAAAGTAGTTCTTATGCCTTAGAAACTTTGTTTTTTGTGGCTGACATTTTAACCTTTCAATCTCCCATTTTCAATATGCCATTCTTAACCTCTCGTGCAGACTGCAAAATCAATTTTTTGGAGTTTAATAAATATTTTCCATTTTTTTTATGATGGAACCAATTAGGTAATGTCATTTATAACCCAGGAACAAAAATTGTGTTTTTGGAAAATGGATATTCATAACCTTTTGGGAATACCAGGAATTTCCACAGGCTTTTTGGAAGTGTGACTCTTTTTGGAGATTACCTGGCATTCCTTTCACACTATTTGGAAAGGCATGACCTTGTCAGAGATTGTAACCTTTTGTAAAGTATGATCTTCCTGAGAAGATTTAAAACTCATTTGAGTCCACCTTCTCCTTAGCGGTAAATATCCACTAGTATTCATGCAAAGCACTTAGATTTCGCTGCTGTTAGACTGATATACCTAGATATCTCTTTGAACTGCTAGGAACAAAGATATGCCAATGCACAGAAAACAGCAGTGTTCCAGAAGTGTTCTTTTTAGTGGCCCAAAAAAATCTACTCTCCCTTAAAACATCTTGGTTTAAATCATGCTCTCAAGAGAAAAAGTAGTCTTCGTTAGAATAACATAGTTGATTTACTCATAAATTTGATCACTTGTCAATCCAGTTACAGGTTTTAAGTAGTTTCTCTGTGCAGGTAACACAGAGCATCTTCCTTATAACCTTAACAGTCCAAAGTCTCAGCATCTCTCTGGTGTGAGAGTCTAATAGAGTCTTTAAGTCTGAAAGTCTGAAAGGCTTCTCTAAAACGTTCTGTTTCTACTGACTTCTAAAATGGAGTCTAAGATCTGAAAAGTCCCAGATAAGGTCACATGGTCTGCAGCTCCTCCCACAACATGAGGTTAAGGAAAACTGCATACTAATAGGAAAGTAGGTAAATGTTTTCCCCCGACACTAAGTGTAGTTATGTCTGACTCTGGGGGTGGTGCTCATCTTCATTTCTAAGCTGAAGAGCCAGCATTGTCTGTAGAAACCTCCAAGGTCATGTGTCTGGTAGCTCTGTTACCTTCCTGCAGAAGCAGTACCTATTTATCTACTCACATTTGCATGTTTTAGAACTGAATGGCCCACGAGGTCTCTTCCAACTCTATGATTCTATGATTCTAGGTGAACTATAAATCCCAGCAACTACAACTCCCAAATGTCAAGCTCTATTTTTCCACAAACTCCACCAGTGTTGAAATTTGTGCATATTGGGTATTCGTGCCAAGTTTGGTCCAGATCCATCATTGTTTGTGTCCAAAGTGCTCTCTGAATGTAGGTGAACTACAACTCCAAAACTCAAGGTCAATGCCCACCAAACCCTTCCAGTATTTTCTGTTGGTCATGGGAGTTCTGTGTGCCAAGTTTGGTTCAATTCCATCATTCATGACGTTCAGAATGCTCTTTGATTGTAGGCGAACTATAAAGCCCAGCATTTACAGCACCCAAATGACAAAATCAATCCCTCCCCAACCCACCAGTTTTCAAATTTGGGCGTATTGGGTATTTGTGCCCAATTTGGTCTAGTGAATGCAAGTATACACTATCAGATATTTACATTACGATGTGTCCTGGAGTGTGGTGGAACCTCCTTCTTTGGACTTTTAAATAGAGGCTGGATGGTCATCTGTCGAGGGTGCTTTGAATGCGATTTTCCTGCTTCTTGGAAGGGGGTTGGACTGGATGGCCTACGAGGTCTCTTCCAACTTGATGATTCTATGATTCATAAGTAAAATGACAGTTATCTCACTGGAGAAAAAAAATCCACTTAAAATCCGGTTTCTGCCTCCTGCAGAATTCTAGGGTTTGTATTTTAGTGAGGGAGCCCCCGGTGGTGCAGTGGGTTAAACCCCTGTGCTGGCAGGACTGAAGACAGGTCGCAGGTTTGTATCTGGGGAGAGGTGGATGAGCTCCCTCTATCGGCTCCAGCTCCTCATGCGGGGACATGAGAGAAGCCTCCCGCAAGGATGATAAAAACATCAGATCATCCGGGTGTCCCCTGGGCAACGTCCTTGCAGACAGCCAATTCTCTCACACCAGAAGCGACTTGCAGTTTCTCAGGTCGCTCCTGACATGACAAAAAAAATAATAGTGAGGCTATTAAAAGCTCTTCCCTAAACTACAAACTCCAGAATTCTGCAGGAGGCAGATTTTAAGTGGATTTTTTTTTTGAGGCACAAGTAGCAACAAAAATAATTTTAGGTTTGGGGGTCACCACAACATGGGGGAACTGTATTAAGGGGTTGTGGCAATAGGAAGGTTGAGAAACACTGGTCTAAAGGTTCCTTTTGATGGCCTTTATTATAATATAGCAATATTAAGTGTATTGCTATATTGCAAACCAAATGTCCACCTATAGCAGGAGCCGAGCATCCTTTTGCCTCCTTGCAGGAGGAGAGCAGCAGCAGCAGCAGCAGTGCCTGATGCAATCTCAGCTCTCTTTTGCTCGAAAGGCTCCAAGCACATTGCATCAGCAAGGCTTCTCTGACATCAAGCAGCGCGCGAGCCAATCCGCGGGCCCGTTTCTAGACGGCTTCCACCAATCCCAGGGCAGGAGCTGATGAAAGAGGCGGGGCGGAGCCCGGCAGCCTCGAGTCCGGAGGCGCTGATTGGAGAAGAGCTGGCGCGAGACGAGGAGCCCAGTGACAAGTAGGCGGGGAATGTGCCGGCAGGAGGGTATTTAAGCCCCTGGAACGGCTGGACCGGGACAGTTGATTTGGTTCCCTCTGCGGTCGATGCGAGTAATTGGCAAGCCAGCCACCTCCAGCACCACGGCCAGCCCTAGCCTCGCCTCGCCTCCTTCCTCCTCCGGGGCCACTGCCGGGCCCTCTGCCCCCGCGCTGTCCCCGCAGCTGCCTTGGCTGCTCCTGCGGCTCCTCCTGCGGCGCGGAGCCATGAAGCGGGACCCCCTCCCCAAGCAGCAGCAGCAGCATCCCCCCCAGGCAGCAGAGCATCTCTCCGGGCGGCAGGCGGCGGAGGAGGGCCAGGGGGAGATGCCCACCTCCCCGCTCTGGGTCTTCGGCTACGGCTCGCTGGTCTGGAGACCCGGGTTCGAGTTCGCCTCCCGCAAAGTGGGCTACATCCGGGGCTACAGCCGCCGCTTCTGGCAAGGAGACACCTTCCACCGGGGCAGCGAGAAGATGGTAAGCCTGGCTTGGAGGAATTGGGGAAGGGTTGGGGGGGTGGGGATCTGCACTGTAGAATTAATGCGGTTTGACAACACAAGCCTTCGTTGCCATTGTAAATCGCCCTGAGTCGCCTAAGGGCTGAGAAGGGCGGTATACAAATATAACAAACAAACAAATAAATAAAGCTATGGAATCTCGGGAATTGTAGTCTGGCAAGGCCTCAGCACTCCTGTGTCGAGAAGGTAAAGACTTCTGCTTTAGGTATATAAACATCCCATAGAGAAGGCTTGGGAGGTTGCTTCCCCCAACACTTGTGATTGTGATGCAAGATTCCATTGCATTGAGCCAAAGCTATGGAATCCTGGGAGTTGCAGTTTGGCAAGGCCTCATTCTCCTGGGTCGAGAAATTACAGACTTCTCCTGCTTTAGGTATATAAACATCCCATAGAGGAGGCTTGGAAGGTTGCTTCCTCCATCCTTTGTGAAACAACAACTCCCAAGATTTCATAGTATCCAGCCAAAGCTAGGGAATCCCGGGAATTGTAGTCTGGCAAGGCCTCAGCATTCCAGTGTCAAGAAGGTAAATACTTCTGCTTTAATCATATAAACATCGCATAGAGGAGGCTTGGAAGGTTGTTTCCTCCAACACTTGTGAGACTACAGCTCCCAAGATTCCATAGCATTGAGGCTGTTAAAGTGGTGCATTAATTCTGCGTGTTTTCTCTTTAATGTTGATGTTTGAGGAGGCTTTGGAAGGGGCTGAGCCTTCTGGGAACATCAGGGAAGGATGTCATATTGAAGAAGAGGAGGAATAGGATGGGGCAGGCTTTTTTTCTGCTGCTCTAGAAACCAGGACACAGCCAATGGATTCAAAGTGGAGGAAAAGGGATTCCATCTAAACATTAGGAAGGACTGCCTATTGATTTGAATGCAATATTCTTGCTTCTTGGAAGGGGGTTGGACTGGATGGCCCATGAGGTCTCTTCCAACTCTTTGATTCTATGAAATACGCTGCCTTGGAATGTGGTGGCATTCTCCTTCTTTGGAGTTTTTTCAGCAGAGGCTGGATGGCCATCTCTCAGGAGTGCTTTGATTGTGTGCTCCTGCATGATAGAACGGGGTCTGAGTGAATGACCATTGTGGTCTTTTCCAACTTCATAATTCTAGGAGGGGTAGAGGTGAAACTGGGGATGTTGGGGGTTTCCAAATTGCGGTGGGGGGCCCTAGCTCAATTCACCCACTGCTCACCCAGTTTCCTTTGTCCTGGGGGGGGGGGCTTTTCTGGGGTTATAATGTTGGTGCTTGTTTGCTTTATGGAGGCAGCTATGGAGTCTTGGAAGCTGTAGTTTCACAAGGTCTTTACCACCCTGAGTCCCCCTGGGGAGATAGGGAGGAATACAAATAAAGTTTTATTATTATTATTTATTATTATATCTGCTGTGCTAAGGAAGCCTTGGCTTCATGGATCAGCCCCACTACAGTAGAGATTTACTTTGGCTTTGGTTGATTCTTCGAATTTTATGTTAATATTTATGTCTCTTTTTTTCTCCCTTTTTCTTCTATAGCCTGGGCGAGTGGTCACCCTCCAAGAAGATTACAATGTAAGTATTTATTTCCTGCATCCTTCTCCTGTTATAGCCAGGCTCTTTTGGAAGAGGTGATGGTGATCAGCCAGAACCCTCCCAGTCTCTATTTGGGGCTTTGTGGGGTCATTGTTGCAAGAGGTTTTTTCTCAGGCCATGCTCAGTTTACCTCTAGGTCAGGCATGGGCAAACTTGGGCCCTCCAGGTGTTTTGAACTTCAACTCCCACCATTCCTAACAGCCTCAGGCCCCTTCCTTTTCCCTCTCAGACACTTAAGAGTGTTAGAATGTTGAGGCTGGCCAATCAGAAAACATATGCAAATTAATAGATCGAGATAGCTCATGCATGGGCCCAAGTTTTCCCATGCCTGCTCTAGGTTCATGTGGCGTATGAGGAAGTTGAAGACATCTGAATAATCAGGTCGTGATAGAATACTAGTAATGCTATTGACATGGCCATCCACTGACATCATGGGTTCTTGTGACAAAACAAAGCTTGAGAGTTTTTATAAAACTGAAAGCGTCTTCCAACTGGCATGTAATTGCTCAGCAGAAAACTGGAAGGTAGTTGAGTCAGGATAATGGCTTCTCAGCTAAACATCTGCAGAAGCTCACTGTATTAATTACTCATAGAGGTGAAACGGGATTGGAAGGGGAATGGCTGAAGTTTTTTTTTAAAAAAAGCCTGGCTTTTAGCTTCCCAGACCACCATAAAAACCATTTAGATGAGAGAGAGGGGGGGGGGGGGGCAGTAAGCAGATCAGAATTTGTAAAACTTACTTTTTTGGGTTGCAACTCCCAGAATCTCCCTTTTTATTATGGTCATAGCAGCTGGGAGTTGGTAAGTTATAATATCAAAACGGTATTTCCCCCCAAAAAATCTGCAACAGATGAATATATAAAATGCTGTGTTCATAAGCATTCTCTCTCAACGTTTCACCCACAACGTCTGAGGATGCCTGCTGTAGTTGTGGGTGAAATGTCAGGAGAGAATACTTCTGGAACATGGCCAGAAAACCCACAGCAACCCAAAACTCACAGCAACAAGTGTGCAAGCTTTATGATGCTCTAGATGTTGGATTGCAATTCCCAGCATTTGAATGCAGTGGCTAGAGCTATATGACCAAGCTCTCCAATTACATCTGGAGGACCCCATTTTGCCCATCCCTGCTGTAAATATAGAGCTGTTTTCAACAGGTGAAAATGTCTCCCTCCATCCCCAGTGAAAGTTTTTAGGGCCCTTTCTGGCTTTCCTTCAGTGACTTATGTATGTCAAGGATCTAAACTTGTAAATAAGTCTGTATCTTGCAGTGTGAGTCATCTTTGCAATTCATTTTCTCATTCCAGGGGTGCACATGGGGTGTTGCCTATGAGCTCCGTGGAGACCAAGTTGCTGCTTCGCTCAAGTATCTGAACGTGCGGGAAGCGGTACTGGGAGGCTACATTACCAAGCTGGTGAAGTTCTACCCGCAGGAGGAAGAGTCGGAGGAGCCAATCCTGGCCCTGGTTTACATTGCTACCCCCCAGAATCCCTCCTACCTGGGGCCAGCCTCCGAAGAGGACATTGCTGCTCAAATCATTGTCTCCAGTGGCCGCGCTGGTCACAATATCGAGTACCTGCTGCAGCTGGCGGACTTTATGCGCTACTGCTGCCCTCAGGTGGAGGATGAACACTTGTTCTCCATCGAGGAGGCGCTGATCTCAATCCTGCCCTGCCTGTACCAAGGTGAAGAGACTATAGTACAAGAATGAATGTGACTTATGCTAGCCCAAAGGAACTGATAAATGACTTTTTAACCAAGGACGCTGACTGCGACACACACCCCTAACGCAACTCAAGTCAATAAAGCCAATGGGTGAAATAGCTGGGGTGGAGAAGGAGGGTGACACGGTTTTATACTTACTGTTTTAATGATCTCAGAGTGGTAATAGGTTTGTTGTCTTGAGGGGAGAATGGAGCGAACCACTGTCACTTAGCCATGTTTGGGCTGCAAAACTAACTAAAATACTATTTTACTCTTACACCCACTCTCCTAGATGTAAATCTCACTGAATACACAAAGGTTTGCTTCTGAGGAGTCATCCCAGAGTTGGGTGAAGTTATAAGTCCCAGAGCTATAAGTCCCAGAGTCTCCCAACCAGCATGGAGAGTCCAATTGTAGATTTTAGAAGTCCAAGTTAAACAGTGTTCTTTGTATAAGGGGCTGAAACTACAAATATACAGTATTTTAAATGTGCCCCCAACTTGTAGCAAAGCTGTGGCTGCAATAGTGAAAGCTTTGCTCTACCTCACAAACTGCATCTGTGGGGGTGAGAGTATTTGCAGGTCAAAGGGGTCGGCCTTTTTCTCCAACCTCCACGGAAGTGACTCATGTGTACGCCGGGGTTTCCAGTGCAATATGAATTTGCCTTGCCTTCTGTAGGCTCTCTGACAGGGCCAAATTCCCTTAGGCTTGTCTTAAGTGAACATTTAATGCACTACTTTTTTATAAATATGTATGAAACTTGATAATGTATTTATTCTACTGAACACATGTATTTTGTAAAGAGAAAGTGCCCAAGTTGTTTGTGTCCTAGTGGGCTCCCTGCAGCGCAGAGAGTGTTTCAAGACTGTGATGAAGTTGTGGCCTTCTGGTTTTAGAATGGCTTTTCTGCCTTAGAAAAAGAAGCAGATGCTACTGCTCTGGTCTCTCAAGGCAGATTTCCTGCAAATAGTATCTCTTGTGTCCTGTGTGCTGTACAATACAGTTGTTTCAATTACACTACCAATATACGTCTCGTTTCTGTTTTGTGACTGCAAAGTATCAACACCAAAGCCTGCTACCTACACCCTGCAGTACATTTCAGCTATATTCTCAAAGGAGGCCCCTTTGAGAATGGGTTAAACTGCTAACCTGCTGAACTTGCAGACTGAAAGGTTGGCGGTTCGAATCTAGAGAGTGGAGTGACCTCCCACTGTTAGTCCCAGCTTCTGCCAACCTAACAGTTCAAAAACATGCAAATGTGAGTAGATCAATAGGTATCGCTTTGGTGGGAAGGTAACAGAACTCCATGCAGTCATGCTGGCCACAACGCTGGCTCTTCGGCTTAGAAATTGAGAATGAGCACCACCCCCAGAGTCGGGCACGACTAGACTTAATGTCAAGGGAAAACCGTTACCTTTTATATTGTCAAGCAATATGTTGCTTTGCTTAAAAACCACCACGCACAAAGGTACGGGCCTGTGTTGCATATTGTCACTCTGTGACCCTCACTGAGTAACACCCAAGTTTGCTCCTTGGAAGTTAGAATCTTGCTATTTTATTAACAAAAATCAGTACCATGTGGAAAGGGCACTTCTTCCTTTTCATCTCACACATATTTTGGTGTATAAAAAAAAGTTTAGTCTTACACTGAAAACATTAGTGGTTTTGTCAAGAGATTTCAGGAGTAAAGTAATTCCAACCAGTACATCACAGAGATTGCAATATAGTCATCATGTACATGTGTCAGTGTTGATGTGATTACGCCCAAAGCTTTGCTGTCGAAGGACACTAGCTGAGAAACTGTTTTTGGCTGGGTCGTGCAGGTCGTCAGAAGCTATTTGTTTTGGAAGTGAACTTTCTGCAGCGCAGCTCTTCCCACACCTTGAACTAGATTGTGTAAACAGGGCCGATGGCCCAGAATGACAGTGGCCTCCCGATACTCATTGAGAACCTTGCTGTGAGCAGGATGTATATGTTGCTACCAGATTTCATACCTGGAGATACATACCGTAATAAAAAAAAAAATCATAATATCTGCAAGAGCTCCCATATTCCTCCTTCAAAGCTTCACAACACACTTATCTATAAGGCATGCAAGGCTTACCATTCAGACACCTGTCTTTGTGCCCCAGGGTAGTGGAGCCACTGCAATAAAATGCTGTTTCAGCAGTCTCCTGTTCTCATCTAGTTCAGACTTGAGCATGCTCCACATCTTTAAATTTGTCTTGGCCTTCCATTTGCTAGAAAGAAGCCATGTACACAGTAGACTATAAGTAAGACTCTTCTGGCACTGGAGTGAGCAGATGAGGGTTTATTGGGAGATACTTCCCAGCAGGCCAAGCCTGTAAGCCAAGTGCCTCTCTCCAGTGTAGCTGAGCTTTACTCCCTGATAACTGATTCATGTCAGCTGTAAACAATGTTACTCAAAGTGGAGCTTTGTGGGTTGGTGTCAGTCCCTGAGCCATCTACTGCCAGTTCCTGGAGAGCTTCCAGGAAAAGGACTACTACAGACAATGGACACAGGCATGTTGGTAAAAAAAGTGAGTCTCCCATGTGATAGTTTTCAAGTACTAGTCTAAAATGCAACTAAAGAGCACAAGGCTGGAGAAGACTGCTGAAGGAAACCTGAAAAACCTCCCTGAAGGGTTCAGTTCTCCCCAGTGATTGCTGTGGAGAAATCTAATTGTCCTCGCAATCAGAGTCTAATTTTATTCTCCTTCTTTTCCTGCTTAAAAAACCTGTGGCAACCATGTCCAATACAGTAAAATATGGGGCATAAACACCTACTTTCTAGGCCAGAATTGAGGATTAAAGCAGTTGTGGCCATTTAAAGGGGGAAATTACAGTATATGTCTACAGTCAAACAAATAAATAATGTTCAAAAGAAAGTACTGACAACAGCCATCATAGAGCTCAGTAAAGTTCAATTCTTAACCACTGAGATCTACCACTTTGTTTTGCACTGGGAAGAAAACTGTTTCTGTTCTAGTAGAAGGGGATACCACAATAGCTAGAAGGATACATGTGTCTTCCTGCTACCCTGTGCTCACCTCAATTTACCAATATCCAGCAGGAAGGTGATAGGGCTCCCTCTTCACCAAACCCGTTTGCAGTGGCAGTCAGAGGTGACCTCTCTAACTCAGTAGTTTCCAGCCTGTGGTCTGAGGACCACCAGTGGTCCGCAAGAACCACTGAATGGTGGTCCGCAGCCTCACCATTACTACACCGTTGCCTCATTGCTCTTGCAAGTCCCTCTGGTGGAACACAGAAGAGGTCCTTCTTGCTGGGGACTCCAAGGCTCCCTTCCTAGAGAGGCCAGGCTGGCTCCTTCATGTTGTCCTTCTACACTGTGGTTCCCAACCTGTAGTCCATGGATCACCAGTGGTCTCCAAGAACGAAAATATGGTCCACATCCTCACCTTACTACACATTTGTCTCGAAACCACATGGCGATGAGATTGAATATTCTCTCTTATAGTGCTGAGGCAACAGGGATGTCAGGAGGGGAGAGGCTGACTACCCACGAAAGATTACTACTATCACATCAGTTCTAGATTATTAGATATGGTGAGCAGGTGGTGACTATTGGATGCCATATGTTCTGTATCATAAACTAGGGCTGATGTGGTCTATCCAATGCAATTTCTGAATCAGCACCTCAAATAACCAAACCAAATCCAAAGTTGACCAAAATCTGATTCATAACCCTTTTGGTACTAATGATGGAGAGTGGTCCCTAGTCAAAGTCGTCTTTGGTCAAAGTGGTCCCTGGTTAAAAAAAAAAGGTTGGGAACCACTGCTCTAACTATTGCGACTGGGAAGGAAGAGTCCTCATTAATCCTCTGTCCTATCTCTCTGTTTTGGCTGCCTTCCAAATGTCCCAGTTTCCCTCTTCCTTCTTTCCCTCTCATTCTCACCCTACCTAAAGTGTTGCAAGCTGAGTTCAAAGAGTAAAAGCAACTTGAACTCAATGAAGTCAGCAGAGCAAAAAGGAGAGGAGGGGTGAACTCTTTTCCTTCCCCGGAGACTCAAGCAAAAGTAGCCTGCTGCAATATTTCTAATTTCTTATTTCTAACTTTTGCCATATTGATATTGCTTGGCCAAACGTGTCCTAATTTGTACCCAGGAAATGTTGAAGGGTAGGACTCTCAGGGCTTGCAAAGCTGAATTTGGCAGCAGGAAAGGTCTGTCTGATCACAGTGTGCATTGCCAATTTGGAAATATTACTTTTTTGGACTACAGCTTCCAACACCTCCCAGTTAACATGGTCTCTGGGAGGATTCTGGGAGCTGCAGTTCAAAAAATGTCCAAAAGTTGACAGTTTTGCATGCTGTGATCAGACAGGATTCCTGATCTAGGCAAAGAGAAAGAATGCCCACTGGAAGCTGTCCTAACCTGATCTCCAGTGTACATGTGCACATCTTCTCTTTTTAACACACCCTCTCAAGGCTGTCACCTAAATTGCCAATTGTCCGCAGCTGTGCTCTCCCTGCAAGGGCAAAGGCTGCCTCTGAGTCAGGTCTTCTGAGGATAAGAGGTCAAGTACAGAAACAACTCTCTCTCCCTGCTAGGCTGCCAAGAACGCTGTAAAGAGAGACACACACAGAGAAAGAGGAGGAGGAGGAGGAGGCCTTTCTCCTTCCAAGAAGAGTTATGAAAGAAGGAAGCACCTTGCAGTGGCTCCTTTTTGGGCCAAGGGAATGGAGAGGGATACGTCTTGCCAAGAGCCACAGAGTCACAAACTGAGCAATTGAAAGCTTGGACAAATGTCCCCCAAAATGCTCATTTATTTTAAAGGGGATAGCTTCCTGTCTCCCCCCACCCCAAAATTATTCCTCAAACTCCAGCCAGCTTAAGACATTGTGTTTACAGCAAAAACAAAAAACAAAAACCAAAAACCAAAAAAAAACAAAACAGCAGCACTTTTTGCCATTTTTTTGTACAGAAGTAGTCAAGACTGACTGTTGAATCTTTCTTCAACACTGGAAGTCTTGCATAATACCCATGGAGAGCAAGCTAGCAATGGGGGCAGAGGGGACAAGTTACTCTGCCTTCCAACCTTTTCCTGCCACTCTACCTCTCTGCATTTTTTGTCTGGGGCACCTGCCTCACTCTGCTGAAATGTAGGGCTACGCATTCCTCAAAGACCCACTTTCCACAAGCACCGGTCCTTACAGTTCTTTTACAACAGTTCAAAAAAGAATACTTAGTAACATCACTCTAAAAGGAGCAAATGCCTGCCAAAATAGAAAATCCTTTTATGTATGCATGTCTGTATGTTTACGTTTTGGGATTGCCTGGTGTGATGGATTCTTTCCCTGGCACAACACGTCTTGTTGTCATAACTCCAACCTATGGCAACCCTATCCTTACATTTTCCTAGCAGTATTTATTAAGAGGAGATTTGGCCATTGCTTTTGTACATATTGATATGTCACGCAGTGGGTTTTCATGACTGAGCAGGGACCTGAATTATAATCTCCCAGGATCACAGCCCAACATGCAAACCACTACAACACACTGACTCTATAGTATAGGTATTTAGTGGTGTAACGTAGACAAGTCACACATAACCTAAGAGGGCAGCAGTGACAAATGTCTTGCGAATAAATGTTGCCAAGGCAGTTCTATGAGAGAATCACCATTAATCAGATTTGACTTGTAGGCAAACAACAACAGTGGAATAGGATTTACTGCTGGGTAGCTAAATGTATGGATATTTTATCAATTTTACTTTACATAGTGCTCAAAATAGGAAACAGGAGTAATGTTGACTGGATGTGGGTTTTTATTCTAGGTAGGTAACTGTAAAGGTTGCCCCTTGACATTAAATCTAGTCGAGTCCGACTCTGGAGGGTGGTGCTCATCTCAATTTCTAAGCTGAAGAGCCATGCAGTCATATGGTCAGCATGACTGCATGGAGCGCCATTACTTTCCCGCCTGAGTAGTTCCTATTTCCTCACATTTGCATGTTTTCAATCTGCTAGGTTGGCAGAAGCCAGAGCTAACAGTAGGAGCTCACCC